GATTGAGATTAAAAAAAAATGCCATTGAGTCAATTCTGACTCATAGTAACTCTGTAGGACAGAGTAGAACTACCCCATAGAGTTTCCAAGGAGCTCCTGGTGGATTCAAACTGCCAACATTTTGGTTAGCAGCCATAGCTCTTAACTGCTATGCCACCAGGATTTCCTGGATTGAGATGGAGGATCCCAAATGCTCTGATTATACTTCAACCCTAGGGAAATCCCGGGACTCACTAGAGCAACTTCCAAGAATCTAGAGCAAGGGGGATTATGGTAGCTGGATTTACTCTTAAAACTATTGGTTTATAAACCTGAGATCATTCTGGTTGTCTCTGAAGCTTCTCAAACAAGTAGGGGATATGGTCTGAAGACAGAGCACCCCAAGCCCATTTGCCAGGCAAATAAGACACTGCAAATTGTTGGCCTTAGGCTACCCCTGAGGCTTGCTTCTCTACTCATGCAAAGAATAGTTAGAAGTTTTTTATTCTGAGCCTATGGATTCAAGTTATTTGTAAATAGATCTATGGATCTATTTGTTTGGTTGAAAAATAAGATACTCTCAAAAGGGTCTTTATCGTTTTTCTTGAAATATGCACTCAAAATAAAACAGGAATTTAAATACCAAGCAGGATTAATACACTACATTTTAGGATTGTTTTGTTTTATATGGAAAGATGACTCTGACAGTCATTGTATAATTAAGATCTGATTTTCAGTGCTGGGATTATCTGTAAAAAGTGGTCCGACTCTGAACTGACCCAGTTAAAGATCTAGACTTCCAGACCCCAGTCTTGAATCCTAGTAGTTGCCTTTGTTGGACAAAGTACTCCACCCTCTTTCTGACTACAAGAAAGACAAAAAGATTGCAAGGAACTTGGCAGGAGAGAAACGACACAAAGACCTTCTGCTCCTGACTGTTCCTGTTTTCTGCTTGGCTTGTTCTTAAATCTGCTTCCAAGGCAAAGCTGACTTCTGCAGACAGCAGGCCTCTGCTCCCAACCTGTCTGTGTGGATTATTCGGAAGAAAAAAAAAAAAAAGATCCGATAGCTTTTACCAGGGCTGAAGAGGTATGAGAAGATTGCATGAATTCCAAGTCCGTTTATAGGGACATTTAGGGCTCTGAATAAAACCATGTTAAAGCCGAACCACGTTAAAACAAGCATACACAGTAGCACAGAAGAAAGAAATCAGAAAAATTCAACTCATGGTTGAAAAGAGTGGGCTTAAGAGGATAGAGAAGAGGTAGGTTGTCCTTCTCTTTGGAGCAGGACAAGACTGTGGACGAACAGAGGCAACAGAGCCATAAAAGCTTTGAATATTTTTGTGGGGCAAGGTCAGGACTGGTCTCCTCTTTGACCAGTAACCTGCCCAGTTCGGGAATGAAGAAGACACTGAAGTGATTGCTATTCACAAGGGATGGCTATGCCTCTTGCATTGAGACATTGTCTACTCCCAGTAAACATAACTTTTATATTTGTATTTTATTTATATTTTTTACAAATATTGAACAGGTACTTCTTTTTGCAAAACATCATGCTAGGTATACCAGGCCATGAGGGACTCTAAAACATGGAAAAGAAGTAGGAGAAATATGTATACATACACAGTGATAGCCAGGGACAAGCAATGGGGAGGGAGAGAAAATATTTAGAGCATGGACCTGATGTGGACACAGCCAGTCCTAGGTTCCAGTTTTAGTTATGACATAGGCTGCCTATCTCAAGTTTTGAGCCCTAGTGGAGCAATGGTTAGGAGCTACAGCTGCTAACCAAAAGATTGGCAGTTCGAATCCACCAGGCGCTCCTTGGAAGCCCTATGGAGCAGTTCTACTCTATCCTATAAGGTCTGTATGAATCAGAATTGACTTGATGACAATGGGTTTTTGTTTGTTTTTTTTATCTCAAGATTGGATCTGGATAGAAGGATAGAGAGGGGGTCAGCTTTTGTATTCTTTTCTAATGGTGTGGTATGGGTCAGAAAGTCCTCCCCAAATCTAGAGGAAGGAAAACTAGCCAGATAGAAGATTTATTTTTAATTCTAGCCCTTTTTTTAAAATGATAGTTGTGAGTTGTTTTTTGCTAAGTTATCCCTACTACCAAATAGATGGTGTTATTTTAACTATCTACCAAAAACATATTTATTTCTTTTAGGTATTTATGTTCTCATAACTACCAAAATTATTATATATTAAGAATGATTGTAATTGGTTTTGTTCTAGAATATGCAACTTTCAAGGCTTAGCATTCCTGATAGGGAAAATTATTCATAAATGATAGAAATTAAATTTCTTCTTAATCATTCAAAAAGTACATTCTGGAAATCCATCTTCTCAACACCCATTTCCTGTTTCCACATTTGAAGGAGTTTGCATCACAGGGTCCAGGGCTTCCCACTGGGTCTTCCCTCTCAAGGTAATAACTTCCATACTTCATCTCAGCCATTCGACTCAAAGGCCATGCTCTCCAGCTGGAATCCAAAGCCTACCATAAAATGACCCCAAATGACATTTACTGACTTATATCCCACCATTCCTCCAAATATTCCCAGTGATTAAGTATGATTTTTATCTCTCTGAGCCTGTTTCTGACCTTCCATTGTTCTGAGATTTTTTTTTTTTTAATTGAAATCTCACATATGCTCAAAATCAGCTCCTTTCTCCACTGTACAGCCATCTGTCTGTTCCAGTCCTGATACACCTAACCATACCCATTGACTGCCTAGCTACTTGGGAAAAAAAACACAATACAGCATTGAACATCTTAAGAATATCATATCTTTGCCAAGAGGGCTCCTTTGGAGTACTTCCAACATTTCTATTCTTCAACAACTTAAATAATGCTGAGTTTTTGCAGCATAGGACACGAGAGAAGATCAGACTACTTCCTTGAACCTTCTGTCACACTTTATAGTTGGGCCCCCAAAACTCACAAATAGTTCTAACAGCTTCTGCCTTTAAACTTCTGTATCAGTTTTCTAGGGCTGCCGTAAAAAGTTCCACAAACTTCACTGCAATCTCTGCCTTTGTGGTCACATTGCCTTCTCCTCTTTTCTGTGGGTCTCTCCTCTGTGTGTCTCTTATAATGACATAATTGGATTTAGGGCCTCACTGGATAACCCAGGATGATTTCATCTGAAGATTCTTAACTTGATTGCATCTCCAAAGACCATTTTTTCCCAAAGAAAGCCACAGTCACAGATTCCTGAGATCAGGACGTGGACATATATTTTTTGGGGGCCATCATTCAACCCACGACAGCTTCTATTTCTATTAAAAAAAAAAGCTAACCCATTGCCATCAAATCAATTCCAATTCATAGTGACTCCATGTGTTACAGAGTAGAACTGCTGCATAGGGTTTCTTGGATATAATCTTTACGGAAGCAGATCGCCAGGCCTTTTTTTTCAGGGTGCCACTGTGTGGGTTCCAACTGCCAACTTTTTGGTTAATTATCTAAAGCAAACCATTTGTGCCACCCAGGGACCTTGTAGGAAGCTCAAAATCACTGATAGAGATCCAATGGGGAAGAGGGCCACCCTACCGAATATCGTAACAACCAGCAGCATCTTTCCCTTTTATCCATGAAGAACCCTTAATATACTAAAATTTTACTTTCTCTCTTCCAGTTACCTAAAAAAAATCCTCATACATGTGAGCAAAGACAAACAAGTTCTTATTTAGGGAGTAGGGGAGGATAGGAAAGGGTAGAAATAAAGAGGCAAAATCAAAACACAGAAGACAAGGCATATTTTTCATCAGAAAGTCAAAAATGTATATCAAATCTATAGAACAAGTCCAGAACAGAATAAGAAAATAGATGGAAAAATTAGCATACAGAAAAGTTAAAATCTGAGCAGGGTGAGGCATGGGACACACTGTGCCAAACAAAAATTCATCCAGAAGTAGAAACTGGGTACTGGGATACTTGACATTTATTGCGGAGATGAATACAACATCTTAAAGACCTACGTATTCATGGTCTGCATTGCCAGATACAAATTTCTGAAATAATAATATATTGAGTTATAGACAAGTGTAAGGGAAAACGTTTTCCAGATAAGCAGTGCACAGATATTTACATGCATACACGTGTGTAGGTTGTCAAAAACACATGGAAATATTTTAAGAGAACATGAAATGATGTATAGACTTGCCTTTGGTGGTATGTTTTATCATACATCAATTAAATATGCAAGCTAGGATCATATCCTACCCATAATGTGTAATCTTCCTGTTTAGTATCTAGCAGCATGAATTCTGAGGAGTACTTAAAAAATCTTAATTAATGATTATAACATTTACTATCACTATACCTGGAAACCCTGGTGGCATAGTGGTTAAGAGCTGCAGCTGCTAACTAAAAGGTCAGCAGTTCGAGTCCACCATGCGCTCTTTGGAAACCCAATGTGGCAGTTCTACTCTGTCCTTTAGGGTCGCTATGAGTTGGAATCAACTCGATGGCAACGGGTTTTGTTTTGTTTTTTCTGGTATCACTACTCCAAATGATTTGGCTATAAATCTACAAAACATCTAAAAAAGAGTGTGAACACGTAAGTATCCTAGTAAAAAATCATCCCCTACCCATAAACTGCAAACGATGACAGTCTATAGAGTTTCCACTGTCCCAGTTGTACCCTTGCCTCAGGAAATCTTAGATTTCTCCTCCAGAATACAACCCATTGCTACTCAAGGTATAGTTTATGAACTAGCAGCATAGGCATGACCTGGGAGTTTTTTAGAAGTGCAGAATCTCAGTCCCCTACCACAGACTTACTGAATAGGTGATTCATATGCATATCATTCTTCTAGTTTGTTATTTAGCCATGACCTCTTCTCTCATTCCCTTGAACATACCATTTTGTCACTCCCAGTATTGTCTTTTTTTAAAATTTCAACTCTATGTAATATGTGTCATTTTGTCCCGAATAGCAAAAGAAAAATTGGAAATTATAAAAATGATAATTTAGTCAATTAATACTGTTTAATGTTTATTTTATTTAGATCCTCCAATTATTGAAGGAAACATGGAGGCAGCAAGAGCAGTGGATTTAATCCCATGGATGGAGTATGAATTTCGTGTGGTAGCAACCAATACCTTGGGTATAGGAGAGCCCAGTATACCATCAAACAGGATTAAAACAGATGGTGCTGGTATGTAGAAGAAATTTTTTAATTTTTAAAAGGTTTATAAATGCAGTGCCTTTAAGTATATAGTTGAATGCAATGAGAAGTAAATAATGTGCTAAAGTAAGTGATTCATCTAAAAATATGTTTGTATATGTGAATTTCATATGTGTGTGCATTCTATATCAAGACAGACAAGAATCATAAAAAGAAATATGAACATTAAGAATATTTTCACATAGTTAAAGTACAGGAGGAAAATGGAAATCACTGAATATTCCATAGAGACCATTTAATGAAGTTGGTATTTAGAATATAAACTTTAATGTAAATTCTGAATCTTAATCAGGCAGACTCTTGATTAAACTGGTTCCATTATTTAGAAGGTTTCAATTTTGTGTGTAGGATTTCTTCTGTCATCTCTCAAAAGACATTTATAACTGAATGTGCACATGGATCAAGGGTGTGGGGAAGGAGGGTAGGGTATGTAGGGAGTGGAGAGAATGCAATGAGAACTTCTCAAATATCAAATCTCTGCCACTTGGGGATTCATAGCATGTCCAAGAAATAGCGATGATTCGTTTTCTTAAGGTGACATTCTAAATATGGCGCTTTATCATAGTTTAACCTTGGCTTTTCTTCCAATTTAGGTTCACATTTCTATGCTAAATACTAACTGCATTTAGACAGCCTTTGTGCAATAAGTACTTTTTTCCCCTCTTCCTCTGCATTGACAAGGCAAAAAATCTTTTCCTGTATCTAGTGATAGTTTTTTTTATTATTCCTAGTCTATCTAAAAAGAAAATGTTTTTATAGGCTCCCTGGGAGTATTTTATTTTTATTATGACTTGCCAAACTTCAAAACTTTATTTGGGAGGAAAGATTTTAAACAGATGACTGGGTGCCATTAAATTCTGCTGTGATCTCTTATATTTATATCTATCTGGCTACCTCAGTTCCGTGGCCTTACTTCTAACTAGAATTATGAGCTCTAATGCCTTTAGTTTTTAAAGCCAAGTAATTCACAGGGCCTGCCATCAATAAACTGTCAAAGTTTCGTGTAATTTATAAGATAATTTTGTTAGTGTAATAATTGTGATTCTGTAATAAAGGAAGACAATAAGCACTAAAAATATTTGGTCTGTGCCAAGTATTTTCACATATAGTTCATTTAATCTTCATAATAATCTTTTTTCCTTCCCGTTCCCCTCCCCTAACCCCTAGTAACTACTAAGTTTCTTTTGTCTCAATGGATTTGTCTATTGCAGATACTCCATATAAGTGGGATCATACAGTATTTATCCTTTTGCGTCTGGCTTATTTCACTTAGCGTGATGTTTTCAAGGTTCATCCATGTGATGGCATGTATCAGAACATCAGTTATCTTTATAGCTGAATAAGTTTTCATTCTATGTATAAACTATATTTTGTTGATCCATTCATCGGTTGATAGACCTCAGAACAACGTTTTGATGTAGGTATTACTATTCCAATGCTCATTAATGGGCTATAGACTCAGTGACGCTAAATAATTTTACCTAAGTTAATGTAACTACTTGAAAAACACATGATTTAAACCCAAGTCTGCCCAACACTTCTTCTCATGCATTGAACTTTTCTCTCTTAAAGGCAACTTCTCAAGCAAGACTCTAAAAATGTATTCATTTATTCGAACTGCTATTAGAGTTCTAATAGAGGTTTAGCTTTCATCCTTAACTATGAAACTAGATATGATCTAAATATGAATTTTATCTGTTTTAGCATTTCCACCTATAATATGAACATAATCATTACTTTTTCTCTCACTAACAGAAATCTAGTGAGGATGTGGAGATAATGTAAGTTGAAGCTTTATAGAATACAGAAACATGCATTCAGTATTGTTGGGTTTGGTTTTCATTATTAGTCCCTAGAACCCCCAACCCTATATGTTTGTAATAGAGGCTTCTGTCTAATCGACTGAACATAGCTGCCCTTTCTTGAAAAACAAAAACAACAAAGAACTAGGGCGTGATCTGACTAGTGATTTTAAGCACATAATTTCACACTGAGAAATCCAGCATTGATTTGGTTTAACAAATATTTGTTTTCAAAACAAAATTGCAAAACAAACAAACAAACCAAAACAAAACCAAGTGATTAAGTTGGTCTCAGTAAACTTCTTTCAATTTAAAAAAATTAACATACTTATCTCAGATATGGAAACCCTGGTGGTATAGTGGTTAAGACCTACGGCTGCTAACTGAAAGGTCAGCAGTTAGAATCTACCAGACACTCCTTGGAAACCGTATAGGGCAGTTCTCTGTCCTATAGGGTCGCTATGAGTCAGAATCAACTTGACAGCAACTTTTTTTTTATTTTATTTTTTTGTTATCTCAGATCTAAACCTTAATTTCTCATTGAGTTTAATTAATTATCCATGATCTCTTGACTAATACAATACAAACTAAGTCTTACCTGAACACCAAATTTTGAAGTAAAAAATTGTTCATGAGGAGGAAGGATATTTTATTGTAATTGGTAATAGAATTCTGTTATAAACAATATATCATTATCTCAAAAAATGAAATGATTGCTTTATGTATGTAGTCTGATTATCTGGACAGAATTATCATATGTTTTGTCTTAGATTTTTTTCTCTCGATGTAGAAGTAGTTAAGTACAATATGTTTTCAAGAACAAAAAAAAGAGTATCTCAGAGAGAAAGATATTCAATCTAATTCTTTAGTATCTAAATCTATGAATGTAGTTTATATTTACTATCATATTTATAAGAGTAAGGACAGTTGTTGATGTGTTCCCTACCAATAGTTTGTATATAACTCTGAAGACTTTGATGACTTCGGTGTCTTCTTATCCTTGGAAATGCTAGAAAAATTGTTTCAGAGAGACATCAAACATATAATGTTTGATAAGGTTGCTGCTTTTACTCAAACAACTTTTAGGCATCACCGCTTACATTTTGTTTGTTTGAATGGTATTTTGTTAAGGAATTAATTACTTCTCTGGAGTGCTTAGAAAATAACTTCCTTGAAGCCCTTCGCAGCAAAGAAACAAAATGAAAATAAATCTATGAAGTAATGACAGTCTTATTCACAATAGGATATGACCCTATAGTGACATCATGAGGCATTTTATTCCTTTCATTTAAGAAAAAAACAAATCCTATAACCTCTATATATATCAAATTAGTTACTTGGCTATTATAAAATGTTATTCTGTAAAAACATGTAGTTGATATTTTGAATTGACTAGATGGCAACCACCAACAAGAACAACAGTAGATGTGTTTAATGTTCATATTATTGAACAATTCTGTACAATGCCATAGTATTTGTTGCTCTGCCACGAGAAAGTATTTCGGTGCTTTTATTAATCAACTTTCATAACTACCATCATTAGTATACTACCTGTATGTGCAATATGTTTTGCCAGACGCAGTGGTACACCCTCTAGTGTATTACCTCACTTGATCCTCACAGCAGTTCTATGAAATTGATGTGATTGTTCCTAATTTTACAGGCAAGAAAGTTAACCCCCACTAATGAGAGGCAAAGGAGCCCTGATTGTGCACTGGTTAAGCGCTCGGCTGCTAACCAAAAGGTCAGCGGTTTGAACCCACCAGCCACTCCATGGGAGGAAAACGTGGCAGTCAGTTTCTGTAAAGATTGTTGTTGTTGTTATTAGGTACAATCCAGTCACTTCTGACTGATAGCAACCCTATGTACAACAGAATGAAACACTGCCCGATCCTCGACCATCCTCACAATTGTTGTTATGCTTGAGCTTATTGTTGCAGCCACTGTGTCAGTCCATCTCGTTGAGGGTCTTCCTCTTTTTTGCTTACCCTGTACTTTACCAAGCATGATGTCCTTCTCCAGGGACTAGTCCTTCCTGATAACATGTCCAAAGTATGTGAGACGAAGTCTCACCATTCTTGCTTCTAAAGAGCCTTCTGGCTGTACTTCTTCCAAGCTAGATTTCTTTGTTCTTCTGGCAGCGCATGGTATATTCAATATTATTCACCAACACCATAATTCAAAAGCATCAATTTTTCTTCAGTCTTCCTTATTCATTGTCCAGCTTTCACGTGCATATGAGGCCATTGAAAATACCATGGCTTGGGTCAGGCGTACCTTAGTCTTCAAAGTGACATCTTTGCTTTTTAGCACTTTAAAGAAGTCTTTTTGCAGCAGATTTGCCACCCGTAATGTTTACAGCCTTGGAAACCCTATGGGGCAGTTATACTCTGTCCTGTAGGGTCACTGTGAGTCAGAATCGACTCGATGGCAATGGGTAAGCATATGGGTAATGAGAGACAGAGCTGGGATTAAATCCAGGTCTTTCTAATCTAAAGGCTTTGCTGCTAAACCACTTTCTGGGAGGGCAGGGGAGCTCCAGGAATCTTGATGCCATTATTTAATAGCTCTGCTTGGGGCACATTACTTAACCTCTTTGTGCCTCAATTTTCTTATATCTAAATGGGAATTATTTATCTCATAGATTATTTTATGATTAAAAATGTGTAAAGAAAACAGCATTGTATCGTGCATAGTACTTACTCCATAAAGTTTATTTATCATGCTATTAATACTCAGTTTAAAGTTTAATATGCTTATAAGAAAATATTTTATACTTTAATGATTGTCTAGTTTTGGCAATAAATTTTATTTTTTATAACCATAATAGAGGGAAGATTATATAACTTCATGTAATTTTTAATCATTTTTAATTGAATCATTTTATATATTTTATCTAATGAAATTCAACAGACTTTCCCTTTGTTTTTTTTTTCTTTCACCCTGCTGTTAAAAATTGAATATGCATAAAATTGATCATTTACATTTTTCATCCTTATAAAAAAATAAAAATAGTTTCTAAAGCAGGGATGTTTATCTTGTCATGTACCATAATAACAACCCGGAAGGGACGCCAGCATATGTTATGTGGGATAAAGGCTGGTTCCCATTTGATGGAATGGTTGGTCCTGTGCCTCATTATGCTGATTGAAAGACATGACATTATCC